CGGGGCGGGCCCGGGCCGGGCGGGTAGGGCCCCGGGGGGCCTGTAATAATACATTGCCGTCTGACGTCACGCCGCGCCCCGCCACGTCACGCCATCGAGTCGGCAGTAAAAGCGATGCGTACAGGCAGCCCGGGTGCCCGGCGCCGAGGGGAGGAGCAGGCATAAATACAGCCGCTGCCGCGCTGCCGCCCGCTGCCGGGAGCGGGGAGGGGGGAGGGGGTGCACTGGCTGCTCGCGCGCCGCCACCGCACCTGTCAGATGTGAGCCCCCGCCCTGGCACGGGCCGCCCACGCTGCCGCTGCCGCACTGCACAACCCGCGGGGCAGGGGGCGCGGGGTACCTACCGCTCTATGGTGGAGGGCGGGCTCGGCGTCCTGGAGAGTGGGAAGCTGGCCACCTCCCTGCTCACGCTCAGCGACCGGATGGAGCCGAAGGTCTGGTCGGGAGACACGAGGGCGCCGGCCGAGGCGACGAGACCACTGCAACCAAGAGGACACGGATAATGCGCTGAAAATGCAACATGTCAGTTGAGAAAAAAACTAGCGATTTGAAAGTCCGAAAATTTTCCAGAAAAAAAACAGGGTTAAATTGAAATATTTCCAGAAAAATTGGAAAATTGAGAACTTTTCATTAAATATTGTTAGATAATTATAAAGTTCTCAAACCATTTCCAAAAAAACATCTGTTAAAAATTTTCGGGAAATCTAAAGTCTGTAGCGGGGGGAAGATTGGCTCACCTCACTGAACCCTCCGTTACCAGGAAGGGCAGCGGCGTCGGGCAGGGTGACGGCGGCGCCGAGGACACGCTGGACCGCGAGCTGGACACGGTCGAGTGCGGACACTTCGGCGTGGTCGTCTCCACCTCCGTCTTGGACGAGCGTCCCCACCACCGGCACAGCCAGCTCTTGGCATCTGCAAACAGCCGTGAAAATGAAAATGCCGTGGAACGTCGTCGTCGGGGCGGGAAGGTAGAGGAAGCGCGATGGGCTGCCTAGCCAGAAGGGGCCGCGGAGGCCGCGGGAGGGGGGCGGGCGCTGCCGCCATGAGCGTGAGGACGAGCCGGACGCGCCCGGCCGGCCGATGAGGCGCGAGAGCGAGAGGTCGGCTCGGGTCGGCCTAACGCGCCGCGACGCCAAAGATAATAAATCAGGGCGACGAAATAAGCCAGCGGTCGCGGCGGCGGCGAGGGGCAGTGCCCGGGGGCGGGGCGGGCCGGGGGCGGCCGGGGGGCTGCTCGGGCTGCAGAGAGCGCAAGCGGCGTGCTGATGTGAGAATGATAGCAGCGGGCTGCGCCGGCCCGGGCCGGTCCGCTGGGGCCGGCGGGGCTGGGCGCGTGCCAAGCACTGCATCGCATGCCGTTTACTCTGGCGCGCCCTGCTCCCCTGTCCGCGCCGCCCAGGGCTCGAACCCAGCCCGAGCCGGGCACCACAACCAATGCCAAAACCTGGGGCCTGAGCCCCCCCCCCCCTCCCCACCGGCCCTGTCGCGCCATTGTTAGCAAGGTCTTATCAAAGTCCCAGCTCACCTCGCAGGATGCTTTGATCAGAAATGGGCACGTCAACGGGTGCAGCACGAAATTATGGGCGCGATCAACTGCCAGGAGGTAGGACCGAGACAAGGACGACAAAAACTGGGCCCCGACATAATACGCCCCTCCGCAGGCGCCCGGAAACGGTTTCCTAAGTACCTAAGTACGCCGCCAATCCCACAGGCGCCTGGCAGGGTAGGCAAAATGCAGCCAGGCCACACACGAGTGCGTTACGGGACTGCCTATTGCCCAGGCGCCATGCGCCCGGCAGGGTAGGCAATGTGTAGCCAGGCCACACACAGGTGCGTTACGGGGCTGCCTATCGCCCAGGCGCCTGGCAGGGGAGGCAATGTGCAGCCAGGCCACATACGAGTGCGTTACGAGGCTGCATTTCGCCCAGGCGGAGAGTAGATTTCGCTGCGTTCCCTGTTAAACTGCGCAAATGACTTCCATGTTCGTTGCGTCGCAACGCGTCGCGTACTCACGTGTTCGTCGCTGCGGCCCGTAAGCCGTGATGGGGGAAAGCGGGTAGAAGTCGCCGTGCAGCGGGCAGTGGAAGGCGAGGCGCGTCTCCCGTCGCCGCGCCCTCCGCGCCAGCAGGCAGAGCGCGCCGCCGGCCAGCAGCATCAGCAGCCCCACGCTCAGGCACGCCGGGCCCAGTACCCGAGAGTTGCCCGTGAAGGCGATGCGCGCCGCGTAGTTCTCCGGGCCCTCGTCCGACCCAGGGCCTCGATACGACGCCGCTGCGATAGAAAAGAGAGAAACAAACACCGTCAAATTAAATGCAACGACAAAAACGTAAAACTGTACGTTCAAACCGTAAAGTTCTGAATATAAACTTCAATAAAAATTACACAGATGTTGAGATAATCAGTTTTCTTTAACGAGAAAATCGTAGATGAACGACTGCGTGTGTAAAATTTGCGAGTACCTTTGCAAACCTGCGAACGCGTTCGTGAATGTATAATTTCATTCGTCCACTACTCTAATTTGAAAAACATGACATATCCACTGGTAAAACAAGTGTTTAATTTTGCACGTCAATTGACGT